ACTTGAAGAGGTAATACTGAAACATTCAAAATATGGAGCATCTCCTTAGTCTACTCTTTGATCAAGCACAAATGCAGTTGCTAAGGAAAGGTTCATCAAATAAATTAAAGAATTAATTGCGTAAGGTAAGAGTAATTTGGCAGCCAATCCTTATAAATAGCTAGCTTCAGTGCTTCACATGATCAAAATTCAATTCAAAACACAATTACTTAAGAAGAATCATTAGAAATGAAGGTTGTCTACTTCCTTGTTGCCACCTTGGCTTTGGCATCCTCACTTGTCTTTGGATATGACCCCAGTCCTTTACAAGACTTTTGTGTGGCAATCAACGAAACCGATGGTGGTATGTACAAACGTTCCTAACATGTCTTCCTACATAAATTTTAAGATTCTCGTAATAACAAGAACGTATTGTTTAAAAAATGTTCCTTGTTAATTTGCAGTGTTTGTGAATGGAAAATTCTGCAAAGACCCCAAACTTGTGAAGGCTGAAGATTTCTTCAAACATGTGGATCCCGGAAATGCAAACAACCCACTGGGCTCACAAGTGACTCCGGTCTTTGTTGATCAACTACCAGGACTAAACACACTTGGTGTATCTTTGGCTCGCATAGATTTTGCACCTAAGGGTTTAAACCCTCCCCATATTCACCCTCGAGGCACTGAGATCCTTATAGTCCTTGAAGGCACTCTTTTTGTTGGATTTGTCGCCTCTAATCAAAACAATAATCGTCTCTTCACCAAAGTGCTTAATAAGGGTGATGTTTTTGTGTTCCCAATTGGTCTCATTCATTTCCAGCTCAATGTGGGATACGGAAACGCTGTTGCCATTGCTGCTCTCAGTAGCCAAAATCCAGGGCTTATCATTGTTGCAAATTCTTTATTTAAAGCTAATCCACCTATTTCTCCAGAGGTTCTTACTAAAGCGTTCCAGGTAGACAAGAACACAATTGCTTATCTTCAGAAGCAATCTTGGTATGACAACAACTAGTTTCTCAGCATTCGTGCTCAATTTATTCTGATGCGATATATCACAACAGTGTTTTGATCACCTCAACCATTTGACCGTTTTCCAAATAGTTAGGGTTATTGTAACAAATAAATTGGATGCGGAGGTTATAATGATATATTATAGTTATGTTTTATTTATTTTGATTAAATACATTGTTATGTTGATTTTATACTAAAGGTTGACTTCCTCCTTACTTTGTCAAATTATATTTTAGTTGGGATATGTTTTCTTATTTATACTAATTTACAAACAAGGAATTCATAATACTTTCCGCGAAAATCAAAATCAAATACATATACCATATTGTACGTATATGATATAGTGTCTTCCTCAACTGCAACACTTTGCCAATTATAATAACATTATTTGCCTTTTTAATATCTTTGGTAATAAGGAATCAAAGTACAAAAGGAAAAATGTATAATATTTCTCGAAATACATAGTTGTGTACGATGGTTTTTGTTTTCAATAAATAAATAAATTTAAGGGTTCGTTTCATGCATGAAATCAAAATTGACATTTAGAATTGTAATTTTAATTCCAATTTCATCATAATTGGAATTGGTTTAGAATTACAATTTTACGTTTGACATATTCAAGGAATTAAAATGTAGAATTAAAATTTTAAGTTTGAAATCAAATTCTACAGTGTGATGTAAGATCTAAATGTTTAAAAAATAATTTAATTTTGCATTAAAATTTTATTTAATAATTTTTTCAAAAATATTGTAGTAATTAAAAATACAAAATAATTAAAAAATAAATTGGTAAAGATGATAACTTAATATTTTTTTTCAAAAATTATGTCACAATAAATTTATCTTTTTATATTTAATCATTAAAATTTAATATTATGTTATGAACTATCTTTCTTATAAATTAGATGAAAGCATACAAATGCTCACAAATATAATTTAATTCTCAAAATTGAATAAGTGCTTTCAAGAACTCTTATTTTGAAACCATGAGTTAAAATAAGTAAAAACATTGTAACAAATTCTTCTACGCTTACATAATAATAAAATATTGCAAAGCTAAAAAAAAACCTCGTTTAATAACACTTAATTGATTATAACAATTTCATCCGTTTTATGATATAATTGCGAAAACCTTCGACTATGTCTTTGTCACACTCTGTAGAATTAATTTCTAATATTTTCTACGACATCTAACAATTCAAGAAAAGTATTAAACAATTTATTATACAATTAACATAAACAATTTGCAGTAAGCGCATAATAGTAATATGATACAATAACGTAAATATATTAAACGTCTAACAAATGTGAAAAATGAGAAAGAAAGAAAGAAAGAAGAAGACGTAAAAGAAAAATAGGAAACAAATGTAAAAAAAGAAGAAAGAAAAAATAAAAAGCATAAAAGAAAAATAGGAAGAATAAGAGGAAGAGGAATAGAAAAAAATTACTTTTATTAATAATCAATGTAAAACGAGAAAGAAGATAATAGAGAAAAAACGAGAGAACATATAAAAGAAGTGGTATTAATAATCAATGTTAGAATAAAGTTAAAAATAGATGAAAATATAGAGAATTAACAGAGCATAAGTAAAAGAAGAAAGATGCATAGGGGAAAGAGAGAATAAAGAAGAGAAAGAAAGCATTGGGAAAGAAACAAGAACTACGAAGATGAGGGAGACAAGATACGCGAGAGTGTATTTGTGAATTATGATATTAGGAATTCAAAATCCTAGGGTGCAGTAGGAATTGAAGTGAGTCAAATTTAGTTATAATAGAATTTCATAGAATTGGTCCATGGAATCATTATCTCAATTCCAAATGGACATCCAAACATGATAATTAGAATTCTTAAGCCTAATTCCAATTCTAACGTCCAATTCCATAATCAATTCTATATACTAAATAGACACAGAATAATCTATGTTTGAATTTTAGATTCTTTTAATAAATTCTTTATTAATGTGATTTTAGAAAACAAATTAATGAAGATAAGTGGATGGCATTTGAATGAGAAATAGAAAAAGAAAAAGAAGAACAATTATAAAGAAATAACAATAAATAAAGAAATATAAAAAACAATCTTAATAAAAAAATTACAATAAACAAAAAGTGTAGCTTAAAATGAGTCTATATTTATAAAAAAAACAAAAATACTAAAGTAACTTTCTATGGACACATCTAAACCTTATCGGTTCTTTTACATGATTTTTTCATAAATACTAATAAACGGCTTCTAACATGTCAAACTTAACATTTTTACACTTCTTTTATCATCTTTGAAACCTTTAGATTTAAATACTCCACTTTTAAAAATAGCTTAATTCATTACAATTTTATGTCTAATTAAATTCAAATTATTTTCGCTCAAACTCTCTTGATCCAATTCGCTAATATTCACTGTCCATAATGGGTCAGTGAGTTGACTGGTTCAATCTCATTGCATTTAATTACGGTTTCATTTTTCAAAGTCCTTGTCCCATCTTTGCGAAGTTATAATTACCTCTAAAATTAAATTTAACCCTTGAGTATGACTTTAAATTTTAAATAATGATTCATATACTTTTATTGTATATTTATTTTAGAATAAAAAACATGTATATTGCATAGACTATTAACTAATTTTAGTTTTATAATAAGTCGTTTCTACAATAAATTCTTATGTTCCTTCTTTTGATCTACTTTCATTACATCATTTTTCCATTTTTTTTATACTTGTTTTGCTTTTATCAAACGGCTCCATTTTCGTTTATTTTCATTTTCGTTATATTGTACAAATGAATTTAAATGGCTTCCGTAAGAAAGGGTCATTTTCATCCCAGAGCAATGAACATGTATGTTTTAGAACATCATTAAAACCTACAATCTTCACTAAAATGCAGGTTCTAATGATGTTCATCATTAGAATAGAACCCACGTACCTATATCTAGCCATTTAAATGTAATATTGTTCCTCTAGTGAAGTTTAGATGAAATGCACGTAGTGTTGTGGGGATAAGAGTGGATTAATAATGGGTAAAGTATAGATAGGGTATTATAATACCTATTTTTCTACCTGCATTTTTTAAAAATACCTATATTTAGTCTCATACCAACGTGGGTAGTAATTTTAATCCTAATATGCATATCCTTTGTGAGTATCTTAGAGCTTGCCTTCTTGTTTTCATCTCTATGTTTTCTATTTCATCTCTTCTCAAAGAGTATTCCACTTTATAAGGTGTAGCATGATTTTATCCTTTGGACCACCCATTTTCACTCTCTCCTTCATTGAACTTGTCTTTTGAGGTAAGGAGAGCTCTACCTCATTACTAAGAACATGGTATGTTTGGGCTCATGAAAATGTTGTGAGCGTGGTTATGTATATATATCTTGGATGAAAACATGTTTTTTTTTTTATTGAGAATGTGTATGACCTTTATTTTGAGCATATATGTATGTGCGTTGTGGACTGAGTCCGAGAGTGACCAACCTTCTTCGACAATGATGGATTGATGTATGATATAATAATGAACTAGAGCAAAATAGACAGATGAAAGGATGAATAATTTGTTAATAGAAAATAACGAGTTCAGGTTATGATGACTAATGAGAGGAATAGAGCCAGAATGAAAAACATAGAAATACAATGGGAAGTATGAAAGGAGAAATAAAATGAGAAAGGTAAATTGTTAGGACGAGTGTAGATAGTTCAGAGGTACACTAGAAGTGTGGAAGATGGGGGCAATTTGAAAAATCTTACAAAAATGAGGGTGGTGGAGCTTTCTTGAATTACGCATAACAACTGAGAGTAAGAGCACTACAAGCCTCACACTCATTTCCTGACTTAAACTCTTGACCATGTTTTTGCTGAATATTATTCCATTCTTATCTTCGCAACACAATGCTACGCGCATTTCATCTAAACTTCACGAGAGGAACAATATTATGTTTTACATAGTAAGATCAATTGCAATGATAAATTTTAAGTTCGATTAAGGGGTTTATTAATTGGTCGACATGCGGGTCAAAGATTAATGAAGAGGGATGTGACTGAATATGTGGCTAGATGCCTAACTTGCCAGAAGGCGAAGGTAGAACACTAGCATCCACCTAGGTTGTTACAGCCGTTGGAGATCCCTGAGTGGAAATGGGATAGTATTTCCATGGACTTTGTGTCTGGTTGTCGAAGACCAGGAACAATCATGATGCCATTTGGATGATAGTGGATTGGTTGACTAAGGCTGCATACTTTCTCCAAATTAACATGAAGTATAAGTTAGAGAGGTTGGCGAACTTGTATGTACAGAAGATAGTCAGGCTACATGGAGTGTCGATCAGTGTTGTGTCAGATAGAGATCTGAGGTTTACCTCGAGGTTTTGGGAGAGCCTGCAACGGGAGTTGGGGACTAAGCTGAGACTGAGCTCGGCTTATCACCCACAGACTGACAGCCAGACCGATATAAGTATTCAGTCCTACTGGAGGACTTACTGAGGGCTTATGTGCTCGATCAGCAGGGGACTTGGGAGGAATGCCTGCCATTGGTAAAGTTTACTTACAATAACAGTTACCATGCTAGTATTGGGATGGCGCCATTTGAGGCTTTGTATGGGCAGAGGTGCAGAACTTCGTTGTGTTGGTATGAAACTGGGGAAATGGTTCTGTGTGAGCCAGATATGATTCAAAAGCAAAACGAACAGATCAAAATGATCAGAGAGAAGATGAAGGCTGCCCAAGATCGATAGAAGAGTTATTATGATAATAGGAGGAAGCCTTTGGAGTTTCAGGTGGGTGACCATGTGTTTTTGAAGGTCTCACCTGTGACCGGAGTTGGGAGAGCTCTGAAATCTCAGAAGCTATCTCTTAAGTTCATTGGGCCATTTGAAGTGCTGAGTAGAATTGGTCCGGCTGCATACTGAATAGCGTTGCCTCTGAATCTCTTGAATCTACATCTGGTGTTCCATGTGTCACAACTCAAGCAATATGTGTCAGATCCTTCACATGTGATTGATCTTGACTCGGTCCAAGTTAGAGAAGACTTGTCATATGACATGCATCCTGTAAGGAAAGTGGATCTCTGTGTTAAACAGCTGAGGGGCAAGGAGATCTCATTGGTGAAGGTAATATGGAGCTCGAGTGATGAGGGAGATGCCACATGGGAAACAGAGAGTACGATGAGAGAGTTGTACCTGGAATTGTTTGTGTAATCTGTGTATGTTGAATTGAATTTTGGAGACGAAATTTCCTAAAGGAGGGGAGAGTTGTAACGCCCCAAATTTTGTAATATTAATTATTATTGATATATGTATATGGATATATGTGTGTGTGTGTCTATACATATATATATATATATATATATATAACTGGATTGGATTGATTGGGCTGAAAATAGGCTAAGTATGGATGCTGCTGCAGGGCATTCTCACTGTAGCGAGAGGCCCTTGGGCATGAGGCATGAAACTGTGCCTTTTTCGCTGTAGCGACAGGATTCTTGCTGCAGCGAAAGGGCATTGGGAGAGAAGGATGAAACTGTCGTCTTGTCACTGTAGCAAGAGGTATCTTGCTGTAGCGACAAAGCCACAATTTGGGCTGTATTTCTGGGTGCAGTCTCGCTGTAGCGAGATTCTGCAGAAACCAGGGTGCATATTCGTCTGAGATTTTTGCTATACAGACAAGAAGCATCGATGCAGCGAGAGATGCCTCGCTGCAGCGAGAGTGTGTCGCTATAGCGACAATGTCGTGACCAGGGGGTTTAGGGATTGGGATTTCATTTCCTTATTTCCCTTCCAAATCTCTTCGATTCTCTCGACCTCAAACCCTATTCTACTGATTAAATTGCCTCCAGAGCCATTCGAGAGCAGGATTGAAGGTTGAATTCGTGTGGGGAACGCTTGGAGGTGACTTTTAATAGTTAGCGTTTTCATTTTTCATCCCCTTTCTTTGTTTTCGTGAGTTCCTTGGGTTCTCATGGAATTCTTCCATGTATTTGGCTAAAATCCATGTGGGAGCACTTCCATAGTTGAATTCGAGTGTGGGTCTTCAATCCAAGGTAAGGGAGAGAGGGACTCTACCCTATCTCTTTGGGTTTGATTGTCATGTATTGTGATGAATATTGCAATGTAGTTGAGATAGAGGGTAGGAAATATGTGTTTGATGAAAATTGCTGCATGTTGTGAGGTGTGATAGAATGTGGAAACCCGTGATGCGTGATTGTGTTATGTGAGTATGCCAATACTTGATGAATGAGGAATGTAAATGTGAACTATGTTTAAAATATTGTGTGTGTTGTTGAAATGAATTATGTTATAAATACATGTAGGCACTTGTGCCGTGTATTGAGAACGATTATTATGAACATGTGTGAGCCCAAGGGCCGTGTAATATGAACGAATATAGGCTTTGTGCCATATACTATAAAACGAATGAGGGCCTAGTGCCGTGTATTATGCATGATTGTGGGATTTATGCCGTATACTGAGAATGAATATTGCAATGTGTGTGAATGGGGCGTGATTAACGCCGGTGTAATGTGTTGTGAATGGTTCAGCGATACACTAGGAGTGTGGAAGATGAGGACGGTAGAAATACCTTGGGGAAGAGGGAGTGGTGGTGATACCGACAGTGGGAGCGGGTACACCACGGGCCACACACTCTCTTCCTAACTAGACCTCTGACCACTACCTTTGCTAAGAGGATAAATGTACTTAGGTTTGAGCTTTTAGATGCTAGAGAGAAAAACATATGTGCACAGTTGCATGTTGAACAATAGTGAAATTTTCTATTCTAAGTGATAGGTGTAACACTGATGAATCCATATTTTAATAAATTTTTATTAGCCTTTTCAATATTCTTTAATAGAAAAAAACAAACTTAGAAAGTGTAAATAAGGTGAAAATTTCATTTATGTCAAATATCATAGGTTTTATTAATTTTTGGTTTATTTACATTGATTTACATAGATATAATTTGCAATTTGATCATTTGAATAATTGTGCAGGAATTTCTAGACTTATTCTATGGATTTTTAGCCTTTGAAAAAATTTGAGGTAAAAGTGACCACTTTCAGAAGTGATAGTGGACACTACAACAAGCTAGATCCAGAGGGCAAATCAAAGTGACCACTTTTAGAAGTAATAGTGAACACTACAGAGAACCCAGATTGCACTAGACCTACGTGTAGCTACTATCAGAAGTGATAGTGACAATTACAGCAAGAGCCAAACTCACATAGACTTGCGCATAGTTACTTTGACTCACCATAGTAGCTACACGCACTGCGTGTAACCACTATCATTTGCCAAACTGACAGCTACAGAGAGGGAATGACAGATCTGAAGGTTGCCCGTAGCTACTATCACTTATGATAGTAGCTACTATGGACGACACCTACTTCACTATAAATAGATTTTTGAAAATTAGGGTAAGGAGATTTTTACACTTTTCGATTTTTGCCATTTTGAGGAACATTTGTAGAGCTTAGGTCAGCCTTGGGTGGCAGCCAAGAACCCAACCTAGGGTTTGATTTACTTTTCTCTTTACTTTCCTTTGATTTTTACATTCATGTCATTGAATTCTCTTTACTTTCATCTGGTATTTGTTAGACCCATCCTTATGGAGGGCTAAACCTTTTGTAATTCTTAGTGAGTTCAATTGGATTCAAGAATTCCTGGGTTATGAATGTTAATACAATTCCCTTTCCTTCATGGATTTCTTTTTCCTAATTTTTTAATTGAATTAATGGTTGAATGAGAGGGATATTGCGTAATTAATCCTAATTTGTTTTAATGAGATTCTAAACTTGAATTGCTTAATTCTGGGTTTATTTCTAAGGTTGCTTAATCTTGAAAAAAGGGATTAGAGTCCATTGAATTGCTTAAATTCGTACGGGATTTTAAGGTTGATTCTTGCTTGTTGAATTAACCTAATTGTGAGGTGTCGTAGGAAAATAGGGTGCTATTTGGACCTTCCTCGCTAAGGTGAGAATACCTCTTCTCAGGCGAGGATATCAGAAAAACCACTGTTTGGTTATCTCGCTTAAGCAGGGAAGAGCTCGCTCAAGCATGGATCTACTCGCTCAAGCGAGAGCCTGCTCGCTCAAGCGAGATCGCGCGGGTTTAAAGGGTATTTAAGATCTTATGCGTTCAAAATTTTCATTTTTCACCTAAACCACCTCTCCTTCTCTGATCGCTTTGTTCTCTCCCTTCCCCATCCTAGAGAAAGCTTTCAATACCTCTGAATCTCTGCTAGATCTAAGCTCAAATGTTCGTTCCACTCAGATCCAAGTAAATTTTTGGAGTCTAACCTTCGAATCTAGTTTCTATTTCTCTGCTCTTTCCCCTTCTAATCGTAATCTATTCTGTGATGTCAAAAAGAACTCTAGTTCTTGGGAAGTGTTACCGGTTGAGATGTGGAGTTTCTCCTTAGAGCCAACGAAAAACTTAGTTCTCAGGCCCATTTCCATGTAAAGGGAGTATTCTCGAGCCTTAGTTTTATTTCTATATGTAGTGACCCCATGACAATTTGAGTAACCTATTTTAGGAATAATCTATAAATTTTTATGAAACTATATTGTAAAAGTAGATTTTTAGTATAAAGGAAGGTTTTGAGTTTATTTGAAATTAATAGAATTGCATTTTTAGCAAAATGTCATGGGCTAGAACATCATTAAGAAGTTTTATGGCTAAGTTATTTGAGATGTACATGAGTGAGTAATAAAAGGTAGAGAATACTGAACCTTAGGTCAGAAGACTCTATTGAGACTGCAAAAATATGACCTCTAGTAAATTATTATGGAAACTGTACTATTTGAGCTGAGTCCGACCCCAGCATGTTGTGTGTTAATATGTTACTATTTGATAAATATTTGTTGACACGATAGAACATGATGATTGTGCTAAATTGTATGATAATGTGTTATTATTTGAGGTTATGTACTGAAATAATAGAATATGATGGTTGTATGAATTTGATGAAGTTTAGTTGATACTGGGAAGATTTGATGTATTAATATGTGAATTAGAATTAGTTGAGATATGCAAATTACTGAATATGTTTTGATTAATCAAATGATAAGAAAGGAGATAGAGAATATGATGGTGAATAGGGATGTATGAGCATGACTCTTAGGAAATTATGTAATATAAAAAATGATGATATGTGTGGAGGAAAGAAATAGGAATACTAGTACGTGTTTTACAAATACACCGATTGATGAGATTATGGTATATGTGTTATCAACAGGTGAGATTATAACACATAGGTTGTAATACATCAATTAATGTGGTTGCAACATATGTATTAGAACAATATAAGATGATGTGCCACAATTAAGATATGGTATGGGCTATGAATGTCCACGTTGTATCCGTGTGTGGTTTAGCTTACCATCGATTATCTATGTTGTGTAAGTCCTTCGTAACTAGGGATAATACGTTGGCAACGATTTAGAGTTCTGAGAGTACCAGGAGTACTGTTGAATTGATAGAATATTTGGATTTGATATGGATAAAGTGGCACAAAGTTATGGAATGGATAATGATATTTGGCAAACTGTAAAGTGACGTGCCTTCTTGTTTTATTATTGTATGTTTAATTGAGAAGTTAAGTTTTGAATGAAATTGATATGGATGGAATTAACTATCTTTAAATAACAAAAGAAGTTAGGTTATATGTGTGAACTAGAAGAAGTAAGAATCCCTGTGCTCTAGATATAAGTGACAAACCAATTTGTTAGAAAATGGAATGTTCCTAATTTATTATATGTGATTTTGAAAATACTTTTTTGTATTGATTTCATTATCGTATAAATTAAGAATTTTAGTGGGCAAGGGATACTCACTCTTACAACTATTTTTCAGGTAAAGAAGATCGATCTGTTCTAGGGTTATACTCGCAAGGAATGGTAGGAAGAAAACTGTTCTACAAAAATTTAGTTTATTTTAAAGGTCTGTAATAATATTATTGACTAAATTTCTATTCAAAGTTATTTACCCTATGTAATTATATTGATGGAAGTAATTAATTTGGAGTTAAAAACTTTGATAAATTTATTGTGACGGATGATTAGAAAATATATGTATAATAGTTAGTGACTAATTGTTAATATAACATTTCAAACATTTCAGCTCTTCTTTAAATGTGTATGAATTGAAATTCTAAAATCTTATTCTATTTTAGTAATTCAAAACATACATGCACAAAGATTTCTTATATACTTATTGATCTTTTACCTATTTTACTCAATAATTGATGATACTTCTATATTTATATAGAAGAAATCATTTAAATAAATATTAGGGGGTTACAATAGGTATTGCATGTAACTTTAGGTTTGTGGGGTGAAAGCAGTATAAATTTCTAGTGTTAGTTTTTTTTTTTTAAGGTTCTTTCTTTATTTTATAAAATAAATATTACATATCTTTATTATCTTAAATATATAAAATATATTTAAAGTTTTTTATTTAATTACTAGAAAGATTTATAAGAATAAACAAATATAAAAAATAAAATATTCGGAAATTACATTATATATCTTAGCAATTAATGCATTCCAATGTTTATCCTCTAGTACGCTAGTCTTGGTTGAGTATCGGGAAACAAGTTACGAATATACGTTAGAATTTGGGCTTGAAATAAAAGCTTTTTATTTTTTGAATTTATTTTATTTTTTTATAAATTACATGTATTTTTTTATAAAAGATAATTTTATTTAAGTTAAATAAAATTGTTATGAATAATAAAACTCTATTTTTATAAAAAATTTAATATAGTGGAATTATGTAAAACTTAAACTCAAAATTACATATTAAACCAAAATGCTTTATAAAAGAGTCTTTAATAAATAATTCTTTTCATAACTAGAAATAAGTTAATTAAAGGAAAAATAAAAAACAAATTTTGATTGATAATCAGTTTTTCAAAATTTAACAACCAATCCTCTCTCTCTCTCTATGTATATACACACACTTGGCCACAAGTTGAGGTTGATCTTTTGATCACAGGTTTTATCGATGTGGCAATGGCGACTTCTTATCACCGCCACTGCAAACATCACCTTCTTCTATCATGATAGCCACCACGTTTTCATGTCTTACAATGATGGTGCAATGTCATTGTAGAAAATTCCAAAACCAACCCTGTAACGCCCCGAATTTTATAATATTAATTATTTTTATTTATATAAATCTAAATGTATATTCATGTGTGTATTTTTAGATATATGTTGTGAATATGTATATATATATATATATATATACATATATATCAGTGTGTGTATGTGTGTATGCATGGTTGGGCTGAAATGGGCTAAGTGCCTAAGTGCAAGACGTGTTACTTAGTTGTTCTCGCTACAGCGAAAGGGCCCTGGGAGGAAGGATCAGAACTGTCGCCTTCTCACTGTAGCGAGTGATGATGCGAGATTTCGCTACTCATTATGCACAAAGATTGTCGTTAATCCTCATCAAATATGCAAAGAAATGAATGCAGTACTAGGGTGTTATCCTAGGTCGTCTCCAAGGAATTTTTGGTTGGGAACATACATCGAACAAGTGTAAACATGGATTTTAAAGCAAGTAAATTGGGGGGAGGTTTCTCAATTTCCAGATTTTAATCAAGAGCAAAATGTAAACTAGTGAAATTCAATCAATTAAGAAGCGTAATCCCTAGTCAATCAACGAGTTCTATCCCTATTCTTTCAAATGATTCAATAATCCCCAATTTTTCCCTTGAATTAAGTTAATTTATCAAGCGTAAATTAACTTTAGCATCCCAATTAAAATTAAGCATCTTAATGAGCTCCAATCTCTATCCCTAAGATTAAGCAATCTCAAAGATTAATCAAAATTAAGCAATTTTGGATTAGAATTTCGTTTGGGTAATTTAGGGTTCATTAAGCAATGTTCCCTTCATGCAAATTTCATTTCATTCAGAGATTGGGGTTAATAAATCCAAGGAAAGAAAGAGTAATATCGCCATTAAGCACAAGAATTCAAGAACCATATGAGTTGACTAGGAATTACAAGAGAATTTAGCCCTCCATATGGATGGGCTTCACAAATGAAAGAAAGAAAAGCAGAAACGTAAACAACATTAATGTGAACTCAATGAAAATAAAAGGGAAATTGGAAATCAAAACCTATAATGGACCCCTGGCTGTCACCCAAGGCTCCAAAGCTCTGTCAAGAAAATGTCCTAATTTGGTAAAGAGAATGAAAGAAATTAAAATGTTCAAGTCCCCATACCCTAATTCCTAAAATCTATTTATAGTGGAGGACATGTCAGCAAAGTGTCCACTTTTGCCTTTGAAAGTGTCCACTTTGGGCCTTGAAAGTGTCCACGCGCAATTCACGTAAGTTTGTCAATTCTCTGGAGTTGCCACTATTGGACTTGAAAGTGGCTACTTTGGATGCGTGTAGCCACTATGAAAGGCAATAGTGGCCACACGCAAAATGCTTCCAAAATGGTGTCCCTGGAGCTCTCTGGAGTTGCCATTTTTGGACTTGAAAGTGGCTACTTTGGAACCTTTAATGCCCAGACTTGCTGTAGTTGCCACTTTTGCTCCTAAAAGTGGCTACTTTGGGGGCAACTTTCATCCAAGGGCCAAGATATCTCAGAATTAACTTGGGGACTCTGCAAAATTATCAAGATAATTAAAATTGCAATCTATATCTATATAATTAAATGCAAATTAACCAAAACTTAATAAACCTATGATATTTACTCAAAATGTGATTTCTATATTATTTGCATTATCTAAGTCCATTTTTTCTATCAAGGAGCACAAAAAACGCAAGTAAAAATATAATAATAGGTGGATTCATCAGCGAGAGAGCGACAATTTGGGATGCATTTATGGGAGCAATCTCGCTGTAGCAAGATTCTGTACAAACTAGGATGCAATTTTGTCTGAGATTTTCACTGTGGCGACAGAGGGCATCACTGCAGCGAGAGATTCCTTGCTACAGCGAGAATTACTCGCTGTAGCGAGAGTATCTCGATCTGAGGGGTTTTAAAAGGGGGTTTAGGGATTTGAGATTCATTTCTCAAATTCCCTCCCAAATCTCTTCAATTCTCTGGACTCAAAGCCCTATTCCACCGATTAATTGCCTCCAAAGCCGTTCGGGAGCTTGATTGAAGGTTGAATCTATGTGGGGAATGCTTGGAAGTGAGTTTTCACGGTTAGAGTTTTGATTTTTCACCCCCTTTCTCTATTTTCATGGTTTCCCTGGGTTCTCATGGAATTTCTCCATGTGTTTAGGACAAAATCCGTGAGGGGGAGCACTTCTTGGTGGATTTAGCGTAAGAGACATCAATCCGAGGTAAGGGGGACTCTATCTATCTCAAATGTGTTGTAATTCTTGTGTGTTTTGTTAATTAATGCAATGTGGCTGAGATAGAGAGTAGGAATTGTGTGTTTGATGGAAATTGGTGTGCCATGTGATGTATGTTGGAATAGTTAGGCCCCGTGGGGTGATTGTGTGTGATAGAAAGATAGTGATTGGTAAATTAATGTTATTGTGAATGAATGAAGGCTATGTGCCGTAGATTATGGATAAAATGTGGGCTATGTGCCGAGTATTGTGAATTGAATATAGGCTGTGTGACGTGTGCAAGCATGAATATTGCGTGCGTGAATGAAATGTATATGAATGGGGCGTGTAGCACCATTGTAAAGTGCTGTGAATGGTTCAGCGATACAGTGGGGGTGTGGAAGATGAGGACGGTAGAAATACCTTAGGGAAGAGAGAGTGGTGGTGACACCAACTGTGGAATAGGTGCACCACGGGCCACACACTCTCTTCTTGACTAAAACTCTGACCATTACCTTTGCTGAGCGACCCATGACTGCACACGTGGTATCTGTGAGGCGAGGGTGACCGGTGACCATTCATAGTGTAAATCTGTGATCACAGTACTATAGTGAGATGGTTGGTGTGCATATGCATGGGTTTATGTATTGTAATTATGGATGTGAATTGTTGCCGATGTCGTGAGTGCATCGGTGTTAAATTGACATGAGCTGTGTGATAATGTTGCTTGTGATTGTGTTTGTTTAATGTATTGAAAATGTTCTGGAGGTGGGACTCTACATTGATTGTGTGTTTTTGGGTAGTATAGAGTACTCACCCTTACATTCATTTTTCAGGTAATCAAGACGATCAGCACCGGACTCAGTGAAGGGATGGATGGACTGCTATAGGACTTAACTTTTATTTTGAAATTGTTCAAACTGAACGAGTCTTGTAGTAGTCATTTGATATTAATTTGTAACCCTTCCCTTATTTTGAAGTATTTTATGAAAATTCAATTGTTCGAATTTGCGAAACTCTTATTTAATTGAAATTAAATTTAAGGTGTTACAATTTTGGTATCAGAGCAGTTTATCCAAACTGGACTGGGGTATCACGCTGAAGCGTCCAAGATAAGTTTTAATTGTTTTGTTTGCCTGAATTATAAATGTATTATTGATTTGATGTGTTGGACTGTGACCGTTAAATTGTGTAGCTAGATTAAATATGTCTGATAGAGATAGAGGTAGAGGTAGACGAACTAGAGGCACCGATGACCTCATGGAACGCATGGCTTAGATTCTGGAAGCAATGGTGCACAATCAAGGTGGAGAGCCGAATGAGTATAGAGGGTTATCTGCTTTCACTAGGCATGATCCTCTAAAGTTTGAGATTCAACTCCGAAGAAGCTCAAAGGTGGGTGGCCGATATGGAGAAGATCTTCAATGCAATGGGGTGCCATGAGGAGAACAAGGTTGTCTATGCCACCTACTTACTGTGTGGGGAGGTGGAGGTTTGTCAGTTAGACCCTGCCACAGGAAGATGGCTACATCCAGTGGGAAACATTCAAGACCATCTTCCTAGGGAACTACTTTCCTCGAGACCTAAGGAAGCATAAAGCTAGGGAGTTCCTTGAGTTGAAGCAAGGAAGTATGACCGTGGGGAATATGCAGCTAAGTTCCAGGAGTTGATGAAGTACTGGCCTCATTATCAGCATAGTGATGGAGAGGAGGATCTGTGTGCTTAGTTTGAGCATGGATTGAGGCCAAACATCCGGGCTGCAGTCAGTGTGTTTCAACTGACGGACTTGCCCACTCTGGTGGGCAAGAGTAGAATCTTTAAAGCTAACTCAAGGGGGAAGACAATGGATACTAGGGGAGCTGGCCCAGTGAGACAAGATAGAAGACCTCCTAGGTTCTCAAGTAGACCGTACTCAGGATCAAATAGCTCTCAATCTCGAGGGAGTTCTTCCCAGGAGAGGAGTAGTGAAAGTGGTTCAGGATCGAGTTCTTTCAGAGGGCCGCTTAAGTGCTTCAGGTGTGGAGGGCCACACATGGTGAAGGACTGCCCACAGCCGAGGATAACTTCTAGCAACTGTGGGAAGTCGGGGCACGTTGCCAACGAGTGCTGGGCCGCCAAGAGGGGAGACAGTACAAGTACAGCTCAAAGGCCGAAATTGAGAGGAAGTACGGGACAGAGTACGAGGCAGAAGCTGAGCATTCCTGGTAGAGTCTTTGCTATGAGTGAGGCAAAGGCTTCACAATCCAAAGAGCTGATCCGAGGTAAATGTATAATTAAAGGCATACTACTTGATGTGTTGTTTGAGTCGAGTGCTACGCACTCCTTTATATCTGTGGACTGTGTGAAGAGTCTAAATTTGTATGTGATGGAATTGTCGTGTAATGTTGTGGTGACTACCCCTACGAGTAAGCCAGTTGTGACGTCATAGGTGTGTCTGGGATGCGCAATGATGGTACACGGTAGGGAGTTTGAGGTGGACTTAATTTGTTTACCTCTTTCTCAATTGGATGTAATTTTGGAAATGGATTGGCTTGCTGCCAACCATGTGCTGCTGGACTGTAGGGAGAAGACTTTGATCTTCGGGGCGACAATGGCAAAGGTTCCAAGGCTTATGAGTCAAGGTGCATGGGGGAACATAGTGAACGCCAAGGCCTTTTCGATCATGTTTTCAGTGGAGGCCAAAAGTGTGGTGGAGCCGAAATATATTCCGGTGGTGACGGATTTCTTGGAGGTGTTTCCTGAAGATGTCTCCAAACTGCCACCTGAGAGGGAGATAGAGTTTGCTATCGACCTCATTCTGGGAGCAAGCCCAATTTCTGTAGTGCCTTACAGGATGTCACCAGTGGAGTTGGCAGCGGTCAAAAAGCAAGTAAAAGACTTATTGCAGAAACGGTTCGTGAGACTAAGTGTGTCACCGTGGGGAGAACCAGTGCTCTTGGTGAAGAAGAAGGATGGAAACATGAGGATGTGTGTGGATTACCGACAATTGAACAAGATAACAGTCAAGAACAAGTATCCACTTCTGAGGATCGATGACTTGATGGACCAATTAAGAGGAGCAGCAGTGTTCTTAAAGATTGACCTGAGGTCAGGGTACTATCTAATCTGAGTGAAGGATGCAGATGTACCTAAGACGGCGTTCAGAACACGGTATAGTCACTATAAGTATTTGGTGATGCCGTTTAGAGTGACCAATGCGCCTGCAGTGTTCATGGACTACATGAACAGGATCTTCCACAAGTTTTTGGATAAGTTTGTGGTAGTGTTCATTGACGACATCCTCATTTATTCAAAGACTCAAGAAGAGCATGCCGAGCACTTGAGGATTGTCCGGCAAATTCTGAGGGGGAGATAGCTGTATGTGAAATTCTCCAACTGAGTTCTGGCTGTCAAAGATCCAGTTTCTGGGACATGTAGTGTCAAAGGAAAGAATCATGGTAGACCCTGCAAAAGTGAAAGCAGTAGCTGAGTGGCCGAGGTCGATGAATGTGACAGAGGTGCGCAGTTTCCTCGATTGGCAGGCTATTATAGGAAATTCATTGAGGGATTTTCTAAGATAGCGTTGCCTTTAACGAAGCTGACTGGCAAGGGAAAAGAATTCAAGTGGACCAAGGGGTGTGAAGCTAGTTTCTTGGAGCTAAAGATAAGACTGACCTCAGCGCCGGTGTTGGCTACCTGATCCAGAGTGGAAGTTTAATGTGTATTGTGATGCATCTGGAAAAAGGACTTGGTTGTGTTTTGATGCAAGACGGGCGAGTGGTTGCCTATGTCTCAAGGCAATTGCACTCGCATGAAGTCAACTATCCGACTCACGATTTGGAATTGGCCACGGTGGTTTTTGCTCTTAAGGTATGGAGGAATTACCTATATGGGGCGAGGTTCGAGGTGTTTAGTGATCACAAAAGCTTGAAGTATCTATTTGATCAAAAGGAGCTGAATATACGGCAGAGGAGATGGATGGAATTCCTCGAGGACTACGACTTCACATTGTCTTACCATCCTGGCAAGGCAAATGTGGTAGCCGATGCATTGAGTCGGAAATCATTGCATGTGGCAGCGATGATGGTGAAAGAGATGGAGTTGATTGAGGAATTTCGGGACATGAATTTGGCCATGGAGGTGAGGTCGAGGAGTTTGTATCTCGGAGCGACGACGATTCACAACGACTTTCTGGTGTACGTCCGAGATGCTTAGCAGGGAGATGCCTTCATGCAAGACATGATGAAGCAGAAGGATGAGGGAAAGGACTTGGAGTTCCACCGTGATGAGAATGGAGTGATTAAGTTCTGGAACTGAGTGTGCATTCCTCAAGTGGATGAGCTGAGACAAATGGTGCTTGAGGAAGCACATAAGAGCAGGATGAGTTTTCACCCCGGTGCAACTAAAATGTATCAGAATCTCTGGAAGAGCTTTTGGTGGAATGGAATGAAGAGAGACACGGCTGAATATGTGACTAAATGCCTAACTTGCCAAAAGGCGAAGGTAGAACACCAGCATCCACCTGGGTTGTTACAGCCGTTGGAGATCCTTGAGTAGAAATGGGATAGTATTTCAATGGACTTTGTTTCTGGACTGCCTAAGACTAGGAACAACCATGATGCCATCTGGGTGATAGTGGATCGATTGACCAAGGCTGCACACTTTCTTCCGATCAACATGAAGTATAAATTGGAAAGACTTGCGGAGTTATATGTGTGAGAGATAGTAAGGCCGCATGGAGTGTCGACTAGTATGGTATCAGATAGAGACCCAAGGTTTACCTCTAGGTTTTGGGAGAGCCTGCAATGGGCGTTGGGGACTAAGTTGAGACTGAGCTCGGCTTATCACCCTTAGACTGAGCGGACCATCCAATCTCTGGAGGACTTGTTGAGGGCTTGTGTGCTCGAGCAGCAAGGGACTTGGGAAGAGTGCTTGCCGCTAGTGTCAATTCACGTACAACAATAGTTACCATGCTAGCATTAGAATGGCACCGTTTGAGGCCTTGTATGAGCGGAGATGCAGGACCTCGTTGTCTTGGTATGAAACCGGAGAGGCGACTCTGTGTGCGCCGAATATGATCCAAAGGCAGAATGAGCAAATCAGAATGATAAAAGAGAAAATGAAGGTTGCACAAGACAGGCAAAAGAGCTACTATGATAAGAGGAGGAAACCGTTAGAGTTCCAAGTGGGGGACCATGTGTTTCTAAAGGTCTCACCTATAACCAGAGTGGGGAGAGCTCTAAAGTCTCAGAAGTTGTCCCCTAAGTTTATTGGGCCATTCAAAGTGCTGTGTAGAATTGGTCCTACTGCATATCGGATCGCGTTGCCTTTAAATCTCTCAAATCTACATCTAGTGTTCCATGTGTTGCAGCTTAGGCAATCTGTGCCGGATCCTTCCCATGTGGTAGATCTTGACCCGGTTCAAATAAGAGAAGGCTTGTCGTATGACATGTACCTAGTGAGGATTGCGAATCACCGTATTAAACAGCTGAGGGGTAAAGAGATATCATTGGTGAAGGTAATTTGGAGCTCAAGTGATGAGGAAGATGCCACATGAGAAACGAAGAGTAGAATGAGGGAGTTGTACCCGAGATTATTTCTGCATACCATGATTATTTTTGTAGATTGTGTGTTTGGTTGAATTTTGGTTGAATGAGGGAGTTGTAACGCCCTGAGTTTTGTAATATTAATTATTGTTATTTATATAAATCTAAATGTATATTCATGTGTGTATTTTTAGATATATGTTGTGAATACGTATATATATATATATATATGTGTGTGTGTGTGTGTGTGTGTGTATGTGTGTGTGTGTAACTGGTTGGGTTGAATTGGGCTAAGTGCCTAAGTGAAGGGCGTGTTACTGGGCTGTTCCCGCTGTAGCGAGAGGGCCCTGGGAGGAAGGACCAGAACTGTCGCCTTCTCGCTATAGTGAGAGACGTCTTGCTGTAGCGAGAGAGCGACAATTTGGGGTGCATTTCTGGGTGCAGTCTCGCTGTAGCGAGATTCTACAGAAATCAGGATGCAATTTCGTCTGAGATTTTCGCTATGGCAACAAAGGGCGTCGCTGCAGCGAGAATTTCTCGCTGTAGCGAGAGTATCGCGATCTGAGGGGTTTTAAAAAGGGGTTTAGGAATTTGAGATTCATTTCTCAAATTTCCACCTAAATCTCTTTAATCCTCTCGACCCAAAGCCCTATTTCACTGATTAATTGCCTCTAAAGCTGTTCGGAAGCTTGATTGAAGGTTGAATCTGTCTGGGAAATGCTTGGAGGTGAGTTTTCATGGTTAGCGTTTCGATTTTTCATCCCCTTTCTCTGTTTTCGTGGTTTCCCTAGGTTCTCATGAAATTTCTCCATGTGTTTAGGACGAAATCCGTGAGGGGGAGCACTTCTTGGTGGATTTAGCATGAGGGATGTCACGACCCCAAGGGCAAGGTCATAAACATAATCCCCTAAATCTCAGCAATACACAATAATCACTATTAATTAGGCATTCATGGAAAATCATCAAGGAAATCAACATGTATTGATTGAGAATAATTCTTAAACAATATAAGTATTACAAAATATGACTTAGTTTGTCATTACAAATAATAATTACAACAAAAGTCGAATACACGAGAAGTTCTAAATAACCTAATGTCTAAACCTCCGTTTCTCCATCAGCTACTCCTGTCAGCCTGGGAAGCCGAGGCCTCACTTGCCTGATCTGCTCACGTACCGAGGTACGATCATCACAGCACAAACATCACAACAACAGCAATGCAAGGGTGAGCTTACGAAAGAAACATCATATCAAGTAAAATAATCGCAGCAAATCAGCAAGAAACACCAATTTCAGTCCATGCAGCCCATGCAGCCCAGCCCTGCTCATGCTTATGCAGAAATGAGAAACAGAGTCCAAGAGGAACTGCGCCGGTCCAAGAGCGACTCATTCCGGTATCTGGATCTAGATAGTACAACTCAGCTTTTTAAAGCCACATGACTACCCACCTAGCATATGACACAGTGCCTATCATGACAGCCCTATTCAGCTATAATATGATGCAGCAATCAGCATATTAATAATTTCAGCAATAGTAATCATGTAACAGCTCAACTAATTCAGCAAATTTTCAGCAATATACAGCACTACTAACTCAGCAAACAGCCCAGCAATTTACTACACGGCATATTCAGCACATTGGGTCATCCTCTCTAGGGTTTTTCACAGCATACAACCACAATACTCAATCATTCGGCTATCAAATTACTTCTCCTAGGGTTCAACAATAATCAATCATATCAATACAACAATTTCATTTCAAAAACGCAGTTCTAGCCCTCTCTCAACACCTCTCATCACTCCCAAATCATTAAAATGACCTAGGGCAAGCTCCCCTTACCTCAATCCGGTGTTTTTCAAGGTGTTATTGGTTATTCAAGTCCAGAATCCGCAAGAATTTCCCTACAAACGCAGCCAAGCTCAGAAAATCAAATGGGGATTTGAAGAAATTCAAGAAATCTCAAAGGAAACCATAGAACTTACCCAAAATGGCTTAAATCACTCCCCTTGGCCTAGAATCACGCAAGAGGTTAGGGTTTTCTAGTAATTTGGGGTGGAAATTGGCCGAAAATGTGAAAGGAAGAAGAGAGGGGTTGAGGGTTTTGAAATAACCCTCCCGCAGCTTTCTAAGAACCCTTAAATACAGTCTGATTCGCAACATTCTCACTACAGCAACATGTTCTTGCTGCAGCGAGGTTTCCTCGCTGTGCCCTCTCGCCATAGCGAAAAACTCAGAAGAAATTGCACTCTGATTTCTGCAGAATCTCGCTACAGCGAGGCCCTCTCGCTACAGCGAGACTGCACCCAGAAATGCAACCCAGACTGTCGTTTTCTCGCTACAACGAGACCTCTCTCGCTACAGCGAGAAGGCGACAGACGCATGCCTTTCTCCCTGAGTGTTACTAGGCTGTTCTCGTTGCAGTGAGAGAATTCTCGCTGTAGCAAGAGGGCCCTGTTAGGAAGGACAAGAACTGTCGCCTTCTCACTGTAGCTAGAGATGTCTCGCTGTAGAGAGAGAGCGACAGTGTGGGGTGCATTTCTGGGTGCAGTCTTGCTGTAACGAGTTCCTGCAGAAACCAGGATGCAATTTCATCTGAGATTTTCGCGTTGGCGACAGAGGGCGTTGCTGCAGCGAGAGTATTGCGATCTGAGGGGTTTTAAAAAGGGGTTTAGGGATTTGAGATTCATTTCTCAAATTCCCTCCCAAATCTCTTCAATCCTCTTGACCCAAAGCCCTATTCCACCGATTAATTGCCTCCAAAGTTGTTCGAGAGCTTGATTGAAGGTTGAATCTGTGTGCGGAACGCTTGGAGGTGAGTTTTCATTGTTAGCGTTTCGATTTTTCATCCCCTTTCTCTGTTTTCGTGGTTTCCCTGGGTTCTCATGGAATTTCTCCATGTGTTTAGGACGAAATCTGTGAGGGGGAGCACTTCTTGGTGGATTTAGCATGAGGGACGTCAATCCGCGGGAAGTGGAGACTTTATCTATCTCAAATGTGTTGTAATTCTTGTGTGTTTTGTTAATTAATGCAATGT